TCTATAGCCGTTGTGCTGCTCATTATGGGGCTTGTAGTTTTGTTGTGAAGCACTTGCTCACTGTTGGACCTACCACAATGATTCGATCAGTTCAAAGGTCTGACTCACCTAACAATTTTGGCCCAGTGTAGGCTGCGCCGTGCCTAGGGGGTTGCTTCTGCGGCATATCTATGGTCGTTTCCAACTCCCTCTTCCATCGCATGAGGCTGCCCTTGTTAGATGTGCAGCGAGGATGGTGGGATCAGATGTGGGGAGACACGAGTTTGTTGTGTCTTACTTTTCAGAGTTTATGATTTGATATTGTAAAGTTGGAGCCGTTTTGGTTTCTTGAATTTTAGATCAGAAACTTGCTCGGAGGCGGAATTACTCTTGGACCTGGCGCAAAAATATGAGCTGACACCGCTGCTGCGATCGTGCCAGGAAAGCATTGAACCTTGGTTGCATTTCTTTTGGAGAAGTGTCAGTTGCTGAAAGTTTGGGCTTGGACTTCCTGAGGCCATTGATTCTCGCAACGTACACGAGCTCCTGCGCGTTGCTACACAGGTCAACCCACCGCTGGAGATCTTGAACCAGATGCTCTAGCACCGCTAATATCAGCTTTTGCCAGTTTAACGTTGAAGCTTTTTTGAGGTCAAGCAGGGGGATCAGGAAGGGTGGTTGATCACGGTAGAAGTTCAGAGTGTTCTGTAGCAGTGTGCGCTGAGGAAGTGTATTGAGTACTTGACCTCGCACCCAGATCAGTTCTGGACGCGCAGCCCAGCGCGTGATCGAAGCTTGCCAAGTAAGCACGGAGGAAGAAGAAGAAGTCCTGAAAGGTAGCATTAGCTACCTGAGTTCTATTTTGCGCAAGCAAGGGGGCTGCATCGTTGAAAGTCCTAGGTCCTTGAATTTTTGATTTAAGTATATAGTGATTCTGTTTGATAGTGGGGGGCCCCCGGCGGTTCAACTCTCACTGCGGGGCATCATTATCATTATCATACATGAGATGATTTTTGGCACGGTTCTTACAGGTTCTTTTACTGCGTCGGTTCCGTTCATGAGCACATGCGCGCACTCCACAGATCAAATAGACTTGCTCATCCCCGCGTGGAAGTAGATCAAGCCAAAGATGAGTCAGGTAGTCTTAGAAGCCTTGCTCGTCCAAGAGCAGTCTCCCTCGTCCATGCCATGTGTCCTCCGTACCTTTCGTTCACCCCTCCTCAAGTACTTGGTCCCGATTTATATCCACTCCAAGCGCTCGCAAGAGTACATGGTGACATAGAGGGTGGGAGGAGTTGACATGAGGCCAATCGTTGAGTTGCTGTCACAAAATGTCGGGGGTATAATCTCATCCAATGTAAGCCAATCGATGTCTCTTCAGAAGGTGTCTGGAAAGGATGTGATGGTGAAACCTGAGAGCACAACTCCCAGCCGCTAAATATGGGACAGTTGTGGCCTCTTGACAACCACGTGCAGTTTTGCCAAGGGTCAACTCTGAGTGTTTAGCCCTGCTTAGATTCTTATGTCCCATATGTGATGTGCATTCCGATGAACCACCTTGGGGAATGACGATTCCATGGGCACCAGCAAAACATTGAGGGCTACCTATGCCCGGGTTTGATCATGGGACTCGTTTTTCCGCCCGTTCGAAGGCGTGCCATCACAGATGCCAGAAGCGCAGCCCGTGGATAGTTCACCGCAGCCAGATTGCAATGGACAATAGTTTATCAGTTTTTCCCGAGAGCGTCTGCAAAGGGTTCTTCGTAAAAAAACATCTGTAGAACTACGTCTCATCTACATCTTCACATCTTCACATCTGCACATCTACATCTCTGCTCATCTTCACATCTGCACATCTACAGCTCTGCACATCTTCTACATTTGCACATCTCTACATCTCTGCTCATCTTCACATCTGCAAATCTACAGCTCTGCTCATCTTCACATCTTCACATCTGTACATCTACATCTACATCTTCACATCTTCACATCTCACATCTTCACCTCTCGCTCTTCTTTTCTTTCTCTCTTAGGGCGGGGGCGGTGCCGCCGGAGCACCACGAAACGGAAGCCTCTGCGGAGATCGTGCGTGTCGAGGGTGCGAATGCAGGTGAGATTGCGTTTTGGAGACTTGGCGCTTCACTTTTGGAGGAAGTCTTGTACGAAGCGCTTGTTTTGGAGACTTGGCGCTTCACTTTTGGAGGAAGTCTCGTACGAAGCGCTGGTCTTGGAGACTTGGCGCTTCAGTTTTGGAGGAAGTCTCGTACGAAGCGCTCGTTTTGGAGACTTGGCGCTTCACTTTTGGAGGAAGTCTCGTACGAAGCGCTCGTTTTGGAGAGTTGGCGCTTCAGTCGCTTTGGAGTCTTGGCGCTTCACTTTTGGAGGAAGTCTCGTACGAAACGCTGGTTTTGGAGACTTGGCGCTTCACTTGTGGAGCTGGACTCAGAGCTGGCCAGTTTGTAGTGCAAATGTAGTGCAGGAAAGAGCTTTTTGAAGCTGGACTCAGAGGTGGCCAGTTTGTAGTGCAAATGTAGTCCGGGAAAGAGCCTTTCGGAGCTGGACTCAGAAGTGGCCAGCTTGTAGTACAAATGTAGTGCGGGAAACAGCGTTGCGGAGCTGGACTCAGAAGTGTTTGCTTCTAGTGTGTGGGCAGACCGTGGGGCGAAACCCGTTCGTGATGTCGCAGTGCCATGCGGATTTGCGAGGTCTTGGTGGGAGCCCGGTCTTGGTGGAAAGTGCGTTTGCGTGGCGCCGTGCCACTGGGGAGCGCGAAACATGCTGGTGTAAACGCGGCGTGTCGCTGGTGAGCGGGATGATTGGCGGTATCGGCGGCATCGTGTGATAGGATTGCTTCTAGTGTGTGGGCAGACCGTGTGGCGAATTACGTTCGTGATGTCGCAGTGCCATGCGGATTTACGTGGCTGTGGTGGAAAGTGCGTTTGCGTGGCGCCGTGCCACTGGGGAGCGCGAAACACGCTGGTGTAAACGCGGCGTGTCGCTGGTGAGCGGGATGATTGGCGGTATCGGCGGTATCGTGTGATAGGATTGCTTCCAGTGTGTGGGCAGGCCGTGTGGCGAAATTACGTCCGTGATGTCGCAGCGTTTGCGTGGCGTCGTGCCACTGGGGAGCGCGAAACACGCTGGTGTAAACGCGGCGTGTCGCTGGTGAGCGGGATGACTGGCGGTATCGTGTGATAGGATTGCTTCTAGTGTGTGGACAGACCGTGTGGCGAATTGCGTCCGTGATGTCGCACTGCCATGCGGATTTACGTGGCTGTGGTGGAAAGTGCGTTTGCGTGGCGCCGTGCCTCTGGGGAGCGCGAAACACGCTGGTGTACACGCGGCGTGTCGCAGGTGTGCTATATATCAGTTTGATCTCTGTACACTTACATCTTCACACGCTCACATCCGCAGATCTGCCTCTCTACCTCCACACACCCACACGACATCTGCACATCTATATCACACCTGCACATCCACACTGTCACTCCTTCACATCCGCCCTCTCTTTCTCTCTTTCTACATATCTTTTCTCTTATTACTTTAAATCGAATTTCTTCGCAACTTCTTACTCAGTAACAGATTGTGTAAAGAAGTCATGGCTCTTGGACAACTCGATTTTATCTATTTCCTTACTCGGAACTGCTTGACAGTCACCTTTCTCGCTCTCGGGCCAACCGTCGTCTAGTTGTTTGAAGGTTATTATTGCAGCGGGTGTTTTTGTCTACATGAGTGAAGTACCCTGATAACACTATTGAACATATTGAAGCCAGTAGACTCAGTAGAAGGATGGAATTGGACGTAGAGTATTTAATATCGGAGACAGAACACCTGCATCACCCATGTGTTCATGTGGTTTCGCTGTACTGTATAGGTCTCGTTTCGTCCAACGACTGCGCTGCCCAGGAACTTGCCACCTTACCTTCACTTTGGTGCAGCGGGCGCGTTGCCTGTGTCACACCCTGGTGTGGCTGTTGCTGGATGTGCAGGCACTGGAAGTGCTGGAGCTGGTGCTGCTGGTTTGGCACAATTCACTTCTCACAGTTGCCCGGTGTGTGACTGGAGGGAGGCAGAGAGGTGGAGTCTGGCATCAAGGAGGAATGGAGTAGTGCACGATGGAGGGACTGTGAGAAGAAATGCCATGAGGGAGTCCGCATGACATTCAAGACATCCAGCACGCTCTCGCGGGCCGCCCATGAGACAAACCACGCTCTCTCAGGTGCCCTGGGTGCACAGCTACCTCACCTAGGGGCATTCAGAGCTTCTCAGACGATGCATTTGCAACATCCAGCTGTGTCTTTGCGGGGCTCTACGCATAGCTCAGTGTCACGTGGCTGGACGGAGTGACTACATATATATGTTAAACTGTCCAGTGACAGTGGGTGTAGTGTAACTGGCTCAAAGGCAAGCAGTGATTTGTGTGGCCCGAATGGCCAACCCCTTATGTAACGGCAACCTGGTCTGTTTGTGGGACAGCAAGAGGAAGGCCCATTGAAGTGTGCGAGGTGGTGACAGGACCTATGACACCAATACCACAACTTTTCCAATTGAGATGCCATGCGAAACATCCTGCAAAGTGAGGCCAGCTTCGAACTGGCGTCCGCAGGCGCCGGCGCAGCCTGGGCCCTCACAGGCACAGCTTAGTCGCAAAGCAGCACAGAAGTCAAAGAAGGGTTGAAAAGAAGGTGACTCACCGCTAAGGCGGCAGAGCAGCCATCAGAATCTCTTAGCCAACCAACACTTCAACCGGCGCTGGTCATGTGATTTTTGAGCTCGCATGCTGAGGCGTGCCACCCCTTCAAGGGCAAACTCACGATATCTACCGCCGTTTGACCTCCGGCAGCTGAAGAAAAAGTGAGATGGAAGTCCAGTGCTTTGTACTGTTATGCGTCCTTATATACATATATCTTGGGTCTGTCCCAGTACCTGCAACAGTCAGTGAACAATTATCACTATTCATAGTGTAGATGTCAAAGTAGGAGCTGTATGAGAAGAAATACCAGGCATGTCTGCTCCAGCAGGTTAGCCTCAGATGAGGAGGTCATTGAGGAGGAGACCTGTGATCTTGCTGAATCCGGGGGCTTGCTGTTGCTGTGGGTGTAGAATCAACGCGCTCGTGGATGAAAGCCTCAGATTTTGGATGATGTCCTTCCTAAAGCCGAGGTGCCATGTATGTGGCTCAAGTCCTCGCATCACTGGTTCATTGCCACTCATGCGGAGCCTCGGCGTCGAGAGACACGAAGATGCGCTTCCGAGATGTGAGGAAAATCAACTCAAGCACTCTTAATTAACCTAATGGCAATGGCCTCCACCCTAGTAGCGATGGCTTCTAACTCATTCACTCTTTGTCGGTACGTTGTTAAATGATTATATAGAGGTGTATTCCACGATGAGCTGCGAGCCCGCAGCGTGCTTTTGACCTCAAGGCGGCTTGTTCAGTTCATGAGAAAGCCAAGAAAATGAAAGACGGTGTGCGACATGTCGTGGTGCTCACACTTCATTTCCATTCAGGGAAGCCAATGCTCGAGTACTTCTAGGCGACGTGGGTCTACTTGCTGCATTGGGAAGAGGCATGGGGAGCTTTGTGCTTGATGAGAGAGAGAGAGAGAGAGAAAGAGAGAGAGAGAGCGCACTGTGCAGGATGCAAAGATGGTCTGGAACCCGACGCTGTTTGCCAGATGTTCCAAGTCTAGATGTTGCGCGTACAGAACAGCCCAGAACGGAAGGAGGAAAGAAAGCAAGCCAAGCCATGCTTTATTTTGCATTGTGCCCAGGTCGTGCTGGTGATCTTCGTGGCGTGGGGATGCAACTTGGCCAACCATGTGTTGTGAAGTAGCACGTGCCACGGTCATCGATCGCAACAAGAGTGTAGTGTAGTGCACTGTAGTGCAGGCTTTCGCTAGCTATGCTTCTGGGCTTGGCCCCTGGCAAAGTGGAGGAGGCTCCAAATTCACACTTTAGATTGAGCAAAGCTATGCAAAGCTCATGCGGTGGCTGCTTGTGACTCATGAAAAACAAGTGTTGTGAGGACCTCAACAGCCACCTGTTGAACGGGGAGCTTTGGTCAGCCCGCAGCCGTGAAGCCTTCGCTCCTTCGTGGCACCTATGTATATGTGATTGAATATGATTGTCTGATGTGTTTTTTTTGGTATTAACAAACACACACACAGACATATATATATAATATTGGGCTTTTTTGTTTTATATTATATTGTATCGTATTATATTGTATAATACAATGTCTATATACTTATTCGCAATTGTCAGGTCACAAAGACTTGAAAAGCAATTACTGGGCTAGAACGGGGTACTATAGTGGCTCAAGTAGCTTCACGTCCCTTAGATTATTGTTGCTAGTGCACATCTCCTGGTGCCTCAGGACTTTGTCCAGACTCTGTTGGCAGAGGATGTGGAATGCACTGCTCCCCTTGCTCTTTCCCATCCCTGGTTTGGATGCCTAGGGCGAGCTTCACTATGCCGCTTTTTGATGAGTTTCTAGTGCTTTGGTTGACCTGGAGTTTGAGAGACTGGCTGGACCTTAAGGCTTCGAAATGTGCTTCTGCGTCCTGGCTTGGCAGATGATCTTGCTCGAGAGGATGCCTTGCGGAGGTTGGGACTTGGGCGATTTGCTGTTCATTTTTCATCATTTTCTCCTTGAAGGAACCTTGTCGAACATCGAGTGATAGATGTTGTCCCAAATTGATCATGTGTTTCCTCACTCCTAAAGCGCTCACGGCGGGGCAACCTTTATCGAACATTCCAAGGTTAGCCTGCTATCAGGCAGCCTTAGCCCCAGAGCTTGATTATGGGCGTGCCTGCATAGGTGCTTTTCCTTGCAGAGTTCTAACGACATTTCCCACGTTGTCATGACGCAACTGAGGCCCTTCTCCTGGTGCCTGTTGAGATGGCCCATCGCGACCTAGAAACTTGTGTGAATTTTACCGATTGTAGCCAGGGTGTATTGCGTACAGTTGATGCACAGCCGCTGCTGTCTCGGCTAAATAGGGCCCTTGAGTCGATTCGCTGCTGCGAAAAGGAACCGTGCGAGATTCAAACTGGTAGCGGAGCAGGTTCTGAAGGGGCACCCTCAGGATCTGACTCACCCGGGGAGACTCGCTGGATCCAACCGTTGAACCCAATTGCGTGACCCTGCGCGCAATCCGTTGAACCCGTTGAACCGTTGTAATTCCAGTGCTTTGCGAAACTTGTTGAGTTGCGATGTCGCTGGCTGGCCTGCGGTACACATCCCATGGAGGAAGTATCTCAGGACCACAGGAGACGAAGAGCGGATCATACATCTACAGTGGCAATCCAAATGGTTTAATCGAATGGGAGTTTCGCACCAAGGTCCGCGTTGCTCTGTACAAGCAAAAACATGCGAAGAAGAAGAAGTCAGAGAAGACCTATTCGAGTCATGGAAGCCAATCAGCCACACCAGAACGTTCTCAGAGGAGGCCGACTCATGCGACCGAGGCTGGGGATGTATCGGAGGATGAAGAAGTACGATTTGACGCTTTTGGAACCCCGAAGTCCGAGAGCGTGGTGGACGAAGAAGAACCAGCTCTGAGCACTGCCGGACTGGATGATGATGGAGCAGAGTATGCAACACTTGTTCACAAGGTGTTGGAAGGCCTGCGAGGTGATGCATACCTTGCAGCTCAAGACATGGGATTGGAGAAGTTGTTGACCCCAACTGGCATCGATGAATTGATTTCGCGTATTCGTGCACAGGTTTTTCCACTTCGACAGCAAGAAGCACGAGAGTTGTTCAGAGTTGGTCAACTCCCACATGGTCCCTTGTCTCGCCAATCGACAGAAAGCATGACTAGCTATATTTCACGAAGACGTCGTTGGTGGAGGAAGCTTTTGGAGATGGATGATGGGGTAAGTCTTTCAGACCCCATGCGTGGTGAGCTACTTCTGGAAGGCTCTGGCTTGAGCAAGACAGAACAGCTCATGATCAAGACAGCTGCAGGCGACAACCAATCCTTTGACGTTTACGCCAAGTTCTTGCTTGAATTCCATGGACAAATTCACTTGCGCAGCTGGTCCGCTTTTGGCAATGCAAGCCCTCGGAGGCAGAAAGGCGGAGGCAAGTTCTCAAGCAAGTCTTCCTACAAAGGAGGAAAAGGACGCAGTTGGCAAAGATCTGCGTACATTGTTGAAGATGACTCATGGGATTTTGAAGAGTCCTATGAACCAGAAGCAGAGGACGACTATGAGCATGAAGCTTATGTCGCAGCAGAAGATGAAGAACCAGAAGACGAAGAACGTGAAGACTATGTCGAGGACCCTGAAGTTGCCACAGCGTTGATGGCAATGGGAGAATGTGATGATGAAGAAAACGATGTCTCAGAAGAACTGGGCAGCGCAGCCCAGCACCAGATGATGGCCTTTGTCGTGACTGACCAGTTGAAAGGCAAGAGCAAAGGCAAAGGCAAAGGTTCAGGAAAGAAAGGTGGAAAGAGCAAAGGAAAAGGCAAGTATGTGTTCAGGACACAGTTGAGCGTGCAAGACAGGATTGCACGTCTAGCAAAGTTGAAGTCAGTGTCCAAATGCTTGCGTTGTGGAGGAAAAGGACATTGGGCAGGAGACCCTGCCTGCAAGTTCCCCAAGCAGAACGACAAGTCCCCCGGAGGAACGTCGTCAACGAGCAAAGCCACAGCCTACTTCGCATTAAGTGATGATGAGTCTTCTGTTGAAGATGAGTACATGTGTGTCAATGTTAGTGGCCAAACTGCCGAAGGTGGCACGTGCTATATGGCATACAAGATGTCCCCAAAGAAGAAGCTGGAGTTTGAACCGTCAGATCGTGCATCCATGTCGTCAGGCGTGACTAGCAGTCCACCGTCTAGCTTTTCGATGGTCGAGCCAAATGTCCGTCGGTCACCGCAGAAGTCCCCGCCGGTCATGCGTAGGAAGAAGGACATGGAGCAAGACTTGCTGCCTGAAGGTTCACAGAATGTTTTCGTGTTTGGTCAGCACCAAGGTTTGACATACCATGAGGTGTTGTTCAAATACCCTGGGTACTACCAGTGGGGATCAGGCATTTCGCACCCTTCGCGCTGCTTGGCAGATTTTCTGACCTGGGTGACCACGTACTACGAAGTCAGTCAGGACGGGGACGTGAACTTGAGAGAGCATCCCTTGACAGACGTGCCGGTGGAGGCAATTCGACGTGCTGGAGACAAGAGTGCCAGAGGGAAACCACCAAACCCCCCGCTAGAGGAACCATGTCGTCGTTGCACCAGATTTACATTTCAAGGTTCAAATGCATATGTTGAGAACAAGACATGCCTTGACTGCGGAAAGAATGAGAGAAAGAAGAAAGAGAGCAAGCCTGTCGCCGATCCCACAAAGTGTAAACATGAGGTTACGGATCGTCGGGGTAGTTCGAAGACCACATCCCGTTGGTACTGCAAGTTGTGCGGGACCACTGTCGACGAGATGCCCCGAGAAGAGGCGCGCAAGAGAGAGGCGATGGCAAAGAGTGTGGTAGGCATGCGTACCAATGCATTCGACACGACAGCATCCATGATTGAGAATGAAATCAACGATGCATGCATGTCAGCTGAAGGAACCCTAGAGGTCTTGGAGATGTTTCGACAGGAGGTTGAGTGTGAGTTAGAATTCGGAGAACCTGTGAGGGTTGGCGTCCTGTTTGAGATCCTTGCCAATGCCGTGGAAGTCATCAGAGAGGCCGCTCCGGAAACTTGCTACATGGGACTTTTGTCGGATCTCAATGAAGCCACAATTGAAAACACACTTCGTCTTGTTGACATCATGGAAGACCCTGGAGTCTGGGCTGTGTTGGACGAAGGATGTAATGCAACTGTTTGTGGACAAGCGTGGGTCCAAAACGCCAAAGACAAGTATGCACGTCTTGGATATGATGTAGCGGATTTGCAGTGTGACTCAAAAGCTTTTCGAGGACTCGCCGGTGACACCAAAACTTTGGGCAAGTGCCGGATTCCGTTCGCGTTGACCTTTCTGGACCCCGAGACGAAACTTCCGGGAGTCATGGAAACGCATGTTGTCGATGGGAAGATTCCCTTGCTTTTGTCACAGCATGCTCAACTTGCATTTCACAAAGTCTATGGGTGATGCCAAGTGTTATGTAGGAAATGCAGAACTTGAACTGTGCAGAGCTAAAGAGCCTAAAGCCCAAGAGACTCCCAAAGCAACTTCGAGAACTTAAGAACACGGATTTTGGCATGAGCTTCAAACATTCGTCCATCAGATCAACTGACAGCATTCATGGCTGACGAAGAGCGCCCAACCAGAGGCACTTTCACGCTGGATGATCCCGCTTGCGTGCGTATCTTGACGTGTGGAAAAGAGTTTCATGGCCAAATTGCAAGCTTCGACCGTTGCAAGAATCTGACTACGTTGGGGCCTATTTTGGCACAGTTTGATCCCGGGAGGCGACTGCTAGTATTCGACTGCATGGGATTTGGAGATCCTCAGCACAACCCGCAATTGCGATCCCATGTTGGCACCCATCCTGAGATCATTCGAGGGATGACTGGCAGTGAGAAGACGATGGAAGCATTGCTATATGGACTTCACCATCTGAAGGGATGCCATGAAAAGGGGCAACAGCTGGCAGTCATAGCCTATTGCAGGCGAAACAGACACAGATCTGTATCTTTTGGTTGGCTGCTTGCAACGGCATTCAACAAGCTATGCCCGGGAGCTCACCTGACCTTGACACATTCCAACCAGGAAAATTCATGGAGCCAGATGAGCGGCGCATGCAAGGGCAAATGTGCCACGTGCACCCATGAGTCGCATGATGCTTTGGAAGCAGCCTTGAGGTCGAGGGACTATGTCTTGAAGCAGTTCGGCCTGAAGGCAGCACCGACATACAGCCATGTTGGTCAGGTCGTGTTTGACTCTGAAGCTGAGGCCCGAGAGAGTGAGAGGAGGACTCAAGCCCCTGTTGATGCCCGCGTGTTGCCACCACCGCCGTGTCCGAAGAAACCACCACTCATTCGCCCTGCAGTAGTCAAGGCAAGCCCAGCAAAAGCATCAGCTCCCATGCCAAAGGGGACACATACCATGTCTCACAGAGGACCAGGATCCATGAGGCCAGTGTCACCAGATCCACCCCTCGCTGCAGCAACACCAAAGGCACCGGCATCCGAAGCACCAACACATGAGGAAGATGAGAGTCGATACAATGAAGATGCTGAACTTCGTCGTCGTGACAAGGCCGAGACCTCCAGGCAGGCAGAACCAAGAGGTGAATCCGTGGCAACGAGCCAGCCTGATGCAGCGACGCAGGCCTTGCTACAGACTGTTGAGTTGTTGACGCAGCAAGTGAAGCACATGCAGGATCGTGAGCATGAGAGGAGGCGATCACGTTCGAGGGATCGTCGCCGGAGGACGCGGTCAGACAGCCGGGAGTACTACCGCGGGAGGAGGCGTGATGACAGCACAGAGTACCGGCGTGGAAGGAGCAGGAGTTTGTCGCGGAGAAGGTCACCTTCATTTGGCCGCATCCCAACGCCCCCAAAGTTGCTCCCGAGAGAGCCGGATGAACCGCCACCTATGGCATTACTATGGATCAGGTCGTGGAACCAGTCGAGACTCGGAACAGTCGGCTTGGCATGAGCGTCGATATGTGTCTTCATCGGAGCGCTCAGGAGCATCGCATTTTCCGAGGGCCACGGGTGCATGGCCATCGCATCTCGAATTCCCTACAGTGGAAGGCGATGGACCGTGGAACCGTCGAGTGAACCTCGAACACATGCCGCTTGAATTGCTTGACAGAATCTGGGATTCAGTGCCAGATTTGGGAATGAAGGCCTCGCGTTGTGCCCTTCGCTGGGTGGGGCCCTTCTTCCCTGGGTCTACGTCACTCACCAGCAAGGAGATCGCTAAGTCGAACCACGAGCTCAACGTGAAGATCGTAGTCCA